TTTCAACAGGTTACCACCTGCAAACTAATGGAGAAAGCAGATGAGTTAACCAAGAAGTGGAGGGATATCTTCAGCTGTACTGCACCAAAGTGCCAAACTTGTGGGCAGCCAAACTCCTGTCCACAGAGTTTGCCCACAACTCCCAGATCCATTCTGTTCATCGAATGACTCCATTTTCACTCCTGTTGGGCTATGACCCATCCCCCTATCCTGAGGTTTGGCTTACTGCAGTCCCCTCAGTTGACAAAAGGTTAGAAAGCCTGGCCTCAAACTGCGATGTCACCATTCTTGCACACAAGAAAGCACAGGATCTGATGTGTTTGCACTCAAAAGGGTCTTATGTGCCACCCAAGGTAGGAGATCAGGTCCTCCTGGATACTGGGCATCTTTGCATCAAGGACCAGTGCAACAAGATTGCACCCCAATGTCTCGGGCCCTTCAAGGTGACTCAGGCTGTCTCTCCAGTGGCATTCCAATTGGAACTTCTGCCAACCTGGAAGGTTCACCCTGTGTTCCATGCCTCTCAGATCTTCCCCTTTGCTGAAAATGATACTTATGGTGCTGCAGGTGCAGCACCACTACTGGAACTGGTTGATGATGAAATTGAATGGGAGGTCAAGTCAATAATCAATCACAAAGTTGATGGGCACAGAGGTAAACAAAGATATTTGGTCAAGTGGAAAGGGTTCCCTCATTTGTCAAATACTTGGGAACCTGAAGAACATATAAAGGACCATGCTTCAGAAGCCCTCTCTCAGTACAAACTCACTTGTCACCTTCAAAATTAAATGGACTCCCCTCACTCAGTCAACATGGAAAATGACCTCCCCCTTGCAGAATCCCTTTATGACCCCGCTGCTGACAGAGATGACCTCCTCATACCCCCCATCACTGTCTATGCCCCAGCCTCACCTCCAATGACCACCACCAGCTTTTCTGACTCCTACCCCTTGTCCCCAGTCTCACAGCTGTGTGCGACATCACCCCCTCTTGCCTGCCCTCTCCAACTGTGTCCACATGTGGGTTTCTCAGTCAAGAGGGTCCCCATCCCCAAGGCCAGAGTCCCTGTCAGTGGGGACAGTAACTGACAGGGACAGGGAAAAGGTACAGTGTGGGTTGATGATGACCCTGATAACTGAACAGCCATGGCCAGTCCCTCAAATGCTCCCAAACCTGCCAACATTCACACCACCTTCACTACCTACTCCAATGTGGCTCAACACACTGCCCTTGATCTCCCCACCTCAGCAGCCCTTGCCCAGGATGACAAGCAGTGATTACCAATTGCAGCAAGTGATTACCTGGACATTGTTAGGGCACTTGATGTCTTCCACGATGGGGACAACATTGATGGGTGCTCACCAGAACAGGTAAAATATTTTTGGTTGCTGTCTGAAATCTACAGAGCAACAGACATGATCAATGCTGCCATCTCAAAGATATGCACCTGAAAGTTGACTGGAACTGCACCCCTGTCAGAGGTAATAATGATTAATATGTTAGAGCGGAGCTTGTCAGGGCTTCTGGAAGCCATAACCAGTGGTGCCTATCACCACCTTCTCCAACAACAGATCAGTGAGTTTCTCACCCTGCCTGCTTCTTGTCTTCTTGATTGGATTTTCCCAAAACAAGAGGAACCATTGGTTTCCCATGAGGAGGAAGAAGAGAAGAAGGTGGAACAAAAGAAGGTTGATGACTGGAGGGCTCTTGAGTTAGGATGGGTCAACTCCAGTGATTTGTATAAAGAGGTTGGTGCCCACCTCAGTACTGGGACTTACAACTCCACTTGGGAGGTCTTGCTGCAGGACGCATCATGAGCTGGTATCCATAAGAACTATCACAATGCTGTCCATGCTGCTGACCCTCTCCCTGTGGCTCCCTTCATCCCCATGCCTCTTGACCAGCTTCACTTTTACCTCAGAGGGCAGTCCCTGGTCCCTGCCAACCACATCCTTTATCAACATGCATGTTTCCAGTGTCATTACTTGGGACATTGGTCTTGCTGCAATGGACATGGCTCCCACTTTACTCCAGCCCTCAAGGAACCACTGTCTCCATTGCCACAGTCGCCCATCTCTTCATGCACTTGTTCCCATGTCTATACTACTCACCAACCCCTTTCCTCCCACCCTGCTAACACATCTGGCTCATCCTCAAGGGTCTGAGGACCTTAGAGGGGGGGTGATGTTATGCCCATGTCAGGGGTCTTTCCTTTTTTGACTCACCATGGTCATGTGTGTCACGTGCCTCATCATGTCTCTCATAATTGTCACCATCCTAGGGGTTCATATGCTGCAAGGCTCCTTCAGATCTCCTGCTGTCAAGGTATTTCCAATACCTGTCGAGACCGTGCCTCCTGCTTGATCCAGTATTCCACTGCCCTCTCTGATGGATGACATGTCTACTTCTTGTTCCATTGACTCATCTCTGACTCATTTATATTGCTCATATGTTGTACTATAGCTCCAGTGTCTGGCTCCTTGCTGTACATTGATTGCACAGCCAGTATAGCCTTTGTTCCCTTGTCCACCCCCATCATATGACACCATATGACTCCCTTTGACTTATCTATTTGTCTGATTGTTTTGTTGATTACTGCAGATATGCATCTCATCACAACTGATATGGTACTCATACTTAGGGGTATATAAACCCACATACTTTACTCTGTATCCTCAGTTTTTCAATAGCTTGCAACTCAGCTAACTTCCTTCTCTTTTGTCCTTGTTCCCTCCTCCATGCGATCTCAGAAGAACTCACCAGAAGGAGTGAACCTCTGCTGGACCTCAGAGATAACTGAGCCATAGGGGTTATGACACGTTTGGCCTGCAGACTCCCCCTTGCATGCTTCATGCCTATTTCATTTGAAGAAGTCACTGTGCTCAGGCATAACAAGAAGCAGTCTCACACTGACATGCTTGGTGATGACAAGGTTTCAACTACCATGTCCATTTTCCCATATGCCAATGCAAGTGACATTTCTGCTACTGCTCCTGCCTCCAACAAATGTGCCAACCTCTCTGCTGCTTTAGACTATGCAAAAAGCTCCCATTCCCATCATTCTCGCAATCCTCCACCTCTGCCTTCACTTGCGATATCAAACCCTATTGCAGTAGACCTACAAGGCTCAATCAACTTCCTCACTTCATCAATCAACACATCAATGACATCTGCCATCAATAAAGCATTGACAATGAGGGCACAAGTGATTCATTTACTGGACAATCAAGACCAAGATTTCCCCAGTCCCATCAAAGCATTCATCCGATTGTTGATCATGCAGAATCTTGGCTTTGCTGATGTATACTTGAGGACAGCAAAGAAGGAAGATCATTTGGCACTTGCTGAACTGGAGTATAAGATGAAACTTGGGGTTGGTAGTTCTCAGACCAGTACACAGTAAAAAATATTATAGGTCACACATGAGAGATCCAAAAGTGTATGTATATTGCATGGAATGGGAACAAATGAACTATGCATCTACAACATTGATACATTGCTCATACTGCTACCAGTGTTAGTGGAGTCATCAGAGCTATAGTTGTCACTACCTGAGGGCAATTGCCCAAGATCCTGCAATTGAATGATTTCCTGATAATCATCCCACATATGTTGAGTGATCTGGTCATGGACAGTGTGTGCCACTTTGAGCTGACCTACATTGGGATTATCTTCATTGGCTCTGCCCTCATCCACCGATCCCCCAGGCCCTTCTGCACCTTGCTCATCTATGTGGATATCCTGTCCTGGCATTGGACCTTCTTTGGCATCATGAGTATGGATGAAGTTGTGCAGTGCACAGAGTGCTGAGGGGATTTGGCCTTGGATGTTGATGTTGTACTCAGGGCTTAGTAGTAAGATGCAAAAACAACACTTGAGGACACCAAATATTCACTCAATGACATTGTGTGCAGATGAGTGCTGGAGGTTGAACAACTCTTCTTTGTTCCTGGGTCTTGTCAGTTCAGCAGGACAATAAGATGGATAATTCAAAGAAAATTACCTTAAATGTGCTTGGTGCCACTCTGCAAGGTGGTAGCAAGTCACCCAGTATGGGACTAGAATTTCTGGGTGCAGGGGGAATCCAGCATCTGCAAGGAGAAACTTTCCTGTTGGGATGTCAAGCCCTTTCATACATGCATCCTGGTATACACATGCATCAGTAGCCAAACCCTCCCAACCAGTCAATGAGTATGTAAACATCAGCTGGAAATCACAAGCAAACAAGCAGTTCTGTGATATGGAGCCTTTGTGGTTTCGGTACACCACCCAGTCCTCTGATGCCAGAGTGGCATGGATATAGCTCCCATCCAATGCACCAATTGCATCCTTGAAATACAGCCAAAATCTTTTATCTCCCCTAATCTTTGGCTGAATATCATCAGCACTAGGCATCTTGACATATGTGGAATAGAAGGGTGACAACAATAGGATGAAGAGTACCTTGCAAAAGTACCTGATCAAGGAGGTTAGAAAAGTATCAGGAAACTAAGGGTGATGACATACCAAGATATGGTCTCACTTGACTGTTGAAAATGTTCACCGATGTGCCTGATAGTCAGACCCATCACACTCATATAGAGGAAAATAGCTAGTTGTTCTTCAAGCAAAATGAATCAAGAGTTGCCATGACCAATCTGGCAAAGCTCCTCCACAAGTCATGCAAAGACATCAGCATGAACACCAAGTTTGCATCAGATTTGTTCTGGATGACCTGCAAGGAGCTCAATAAGCCATTCCTCACTGGTTAGTGCTGACATGTGGTAAGGCTCCAGAATCCTTTGGATTGGCATAGATTGCACTTCAGTATGACCAATCATGCAGAGGATGATATTGACAACAAGAGCAATATGGCGCAGCAAGTGTTGGCAGTGAATCTCCTCATGATCACCACCAATATTGATGTCATCCATCTCGCATACAGGAGGAAATGTTTCAAACTCAATTCAAACTCACTATGTGAACTGCCCCAGTGGAAAAACATGTACAAGCATTGAAGGAACTAATTGCAACTTACCCAAGGTTTCCGAACTAGCTCTTACTGATGTCTGACCACACAACTGAATCATGATGTACTTTCGCATGTTGGTTCTTTTCTCCTGTTTCCACACAGGCCTAGGCAAACTAAAGGAAGAACCGTTCCCGACAATCGTCGTGCATCCCTATATTCCAACATCATGGCTATCGTTGACCTCCACGTCGTCAATGTTGACTGCTTACGTGTCACGGAAGAAGTTCAACTGGCTGCTTCATGATCCGTGCGCAGCTGACTTTCTAGATGACTACCGCAGGTTATATCACTCCCTCTCACCGTTAACAACACCTGTTCATACTTGTGCAAGCTGGCAACCTTACTATTGCAAAGTGAAGCAACCGCACAAAAAGGGACTTCATCGTAGAGAAGTTCACGAGCACCACAGCATGATTGTGGGCGGGGCCCATCAATGCTACTTATTGTGGCTCAGTGCAAGTGAGGAAGTTAGCCGTCACTTGAATGTTTCAGGTACCCCTATGGCATCAGCCATCACAGAACGAAACCACATGCTACGAATGGGCTCGTAATCCGCGACTTGTGTGACAAGATCCTATAACAGTCGGCCACTAAAAACTATGTGCACCCCTAACACTTGCATTTATCCCGCTGCTCACGTATGGGCTTGTCCTTTGCAAACAGCTTGATTATTTTATTCTAGGGCCCAGTTCTAGAAATGTTCACGGATTTCGTGCGGTCTACAGCCTCGAGTATCTTCTTGACGAGATCCTCCAAATTCGGTCACACCTACTGAAGTCATGGTGCCTGCTTCACGAAGGAGGCCACCGTTTCGAGCGGCAAACGGTTCGCCCTCAGAGGTAGACACCTGCCATCAGCCATCACAACAGGAACTACAAGTTACGAACGGCCTCGTAACCGGTGAAACTAGATGAGATGTTGGTACACTAGGGATTTCATATCGTGGATTCTTGTTTGACAAGATCCTATGTCTGCCAGCCACTAAAAACTACATAGATACATAGATACATACGTCCTAACACTTGCATTTATCCCGCCAGTTATGTTTGGGACGGTCTTTTGCAAGCAGCTTGAGTATGCCATCCTGGGGCCACGTTCTAAAAACGTCCACAGATTTCGTGCGATCGTCGGCCTCGAGTATCTTTTTGACGAGATCCTCAAAGATTTCGGTCACATTTACAGAAGTCTTAGCGCTTGCTTCACGAAAGAGGGCACCGTTTTGAGCGGCAAATGATTCCCCGTCAGAGGTAGATACTTTTCGGGAATATTCCTGGGTGTGGAAAAGCTATGTGTCAATAATACATAGTTTCATCACGATGGCTAAACTGAGGAATAGTAGCGGAAGAAGGAGGTTGGGGGAGGAATAGGAAAAGCCGGAGGCGCACCTGGTCTAACTTGTTCCCCACAATCATCTTGGGTATCGTGGATGGAACGTGGTCATCGAGTTCGGTAAGCCAACCCGGCAACGCATCGAACGATGCTCTATCCGTGATGTCGTACACTTTAGTCAATTTTGAATCGGGCTGGTCAGGGTGTAAGGTTTGGGACACATCGAATAGACCGCACCGAGTACAACACCATGTGCCCTTCTGTAGAATGGTGCCGTGATCACCCTGAATCGTTCCATTCCTGCTGTGTCCTGTTGCATAGGGAACGACAAAAGATACGGTGAAGGGGCCAAGCCTCTCAGTCAAACATGTTTCGGTAGTTCAAAAGATCGGGGAAGAATGCTCACCCATATACCGAGTTTCACCTGCCGCCCATCAACTTCCATGTTTTGAAACTATGTCAGATGTGAGGATCAGCTCACTTTAGTCTCCTTGTCAATGTGGCCACTGGCTGACCAATGGAACACACAAGATGTGCGTGTATGGGACATACTACACATGTCTTCTGTGTTTCGTGCGTGAGAGGGAACTCACATGGAGGTCCACGCCGTAGGTCGCAGAAACGCTGTCGATTGACCATTGTTTATCAAGGAAGCGCTTATAGAGACAGGTCTTGCCAACGGACATATCACCAATGAGGATTATCTTCAATTCCAGAGGTCGCGACTGTGCCATGGCAGAGTTGGTTGCACTGGAAGTGAAGGGATGCTTGGGCTGTAGAATGGAAGGAAAGCCCACGCCTCGCTATCTCCATATGGTTCGTATGTAGAAAACGTGTGCAGGTTCAAATCCAACGTGCCCTCCGCATACATGATCGACTCATGATATGTACTGGTACACACCTGGCGAGAAGAGGAAATTGTCTTGCACGGCTAGATTAGGGGATTCTGTGATACCCAGTCAATCCATCCAGTCGTTCCGCCCGCACTTCGTGTACGGTGACGTAAGTGATCCGGTTTTTGATATCTGTAATGGTCAGTCTACCGTTATAGTGGTACTTGCGACGACTGTTCGCCTTCAACGATTAGCTTGTCATTGAACTGGCTCACTGTGCAGCGTTCACAGAATGCGAAAAGACCAACTGGAGTGAGACGTTATACTATGTGCCCGTGTACTAACGGTGTACGCCAGGTTTGGGTCGAGGTTATGGATGATCTGGGCTGGCTGGTTTACTTCTCTGAAGTCTCCGCGGTGAAGAGTTGTCAGTGTACCTTTGATGTTTGATGCAGTCCAAGTGTCATCTTGTCATCGTATCAAAGTCAGTAGATTGTCTTCGTGCTCAGCGAAGCAGCCACACTCCTGACACTCCTTCCCTTCCTTACCACATAAGCCCTCATACCCCCAGATGGCCCCAGTAACCACGACCCCACTCGTCCCAACATTACGTGTCCACGTCAAGCTCCTCCTGACGAGCAGGAGTAATCTTCTACCGCGATTCTCAGGCGAGCAGTGGATACTGGCACCCGAAGACGAGGCGACTGCGACCATGATTTCAGGGTGAGTCTTTTCTTTGGACGAGCGATTGTATCATGTAGCAACTGCCACGCCTAGTCCTACATAATCACTATACTGGGGGCCACCCAGTCCGAGGAAAAGTGCTCTTACGCACTTCCCGCCAGGGGTGTGTGGGATTCCGTAAACTAGTCCTGGTTGAGGTCCATGTTACTTTGGTGGGCGTCTTGTTTCACGTGCAATGTACTAAGTGGCGAGTTACGGGTAGTCGGTTGTGTTTGGAGGTTAGTCTCCCTTTCTTTCCGTCTTCTCTGTTGGCTGACGTGCGTTTCCTTCGTTGGGCTCCACGCCTCACCATGTATGTCTCCTACAATATACAACGCGTATCTTCCCACATGGCATGATACATAATGCAGCAGGACAAGAACGTTTTCGGACGGTTTCGTCGTTCTATTGTAGGGGCACTCAGAGTGTCATACTCGGTTTGTCGGCACCCGGACCCCCTTTTCTTCCCGTCTTGGCTTGTTCACGCGGTTCCTGTCGTTGATTCTGTCCCTTTCCGAGTATCTCACGGATCAACATCGATGAATTGATGCGGGTATGCTTGGGAGCTGTGGTCGAAGCTGCTATGTGTTGGCCAGGAACTCGCTTCCTTCTGTGAATGACAATAGATTATTACATTTGCTGACGGTGTCTCAACACGATGGGATGAGGGTTTACGTATGTGTGTGCCATGGAGCGTCCGCAAATCAATTCCTGTGTTGATTGTGCACAGCACTCGGGATCCCTCTCACCTGTTATTAGGCCAGGCCGCTGATGAGGCCGTACATACCGGAACGGCAGGTTCGCGAGCACCGCGACAACATGTCACACATTACATCAATGGATGCTGTCCCCCTCTAACCACACAAATGAATCACGCCAAGCTTTTTGTATGTTGGTTCTGGGTACGTGTCGCAACAATGACTGTAGGGGCCCATCCGAGTTACTTACTGTGGCCTGATGCCAGCGAGGAAGCCTGACATCACTTAAAACCTGTCAGTTATCCATGCCATCGGCCATCACAGTTTACAAGCCACGAACGGCCTCGTACCTGGCGAAGCTAGATGAAAAATTGATACACTGGGGATTTCATATGGTAGATTCTTGTTTGACAAGATCCTATATCTACCGGCAACTAAGAACTACAAACATACATACTTGCTAACACTTGCATTTATCCCACCAGTTACGTTTGGGTTGGTCTGTTGCAACCAGCTTGATGATTTCATCCTGGGGCCACGTTCTATAAATGACCATGGACTTCATGAGATCGTCGGCCTCGCGCATCTTTTTGACGAGATCCTCAAAGACCTCGGTCACATTCATAGAAGTCTTGGCGCTTGCTTCACGAAAGAGGGCACCGATTTGGGCGGCATATGATTCCCCATCAGACGTAGGGACCTTCCGGTCAACCTCCTAGTTTGGAAAAGTTAAATGTCAAAGATGCGCAGCCAAACTGAGGGGGTCGTGGCGAAAGGTGGTGGAATGAGAAATGACGCTCGAGACACACCTGGTCTAACTTGTTCCCAACGATTATCTTGGGTGTCGTAGATGGAGCGTGGCGATTGGTGTCGGCAAGCCAACCTGGCAATGCATCGAACAATGTTCTGTCAGAAATGCTGTACACTAGCCCATTTCGAATCGGAATGATCAGGGTGTAACACTGGGGACATGTCGCATCGACCGTACCGAGTATAACACCCTGTGCACCCCTATAGAATGCCGGCAAGATTGCTCGGAACTTTTCCATTCCCGCTGTGTCCTGTTACATAGGGAACGATAAACAGTATGAAGGAGCGAAGAGCGTCTCACTCAACCACGTTGAGAATGACGAGGAACAATGCTCACCCATATGCAAAGCTTCACCTTGCGTCCATCAACTTCCATGTTCTGAGCCTACGTCAAACAGGAGGATCAGTCCGCTTTATTCTCCTGGTCAGTGTGGCCGCTGGCCACCCAATGAAACACACGAGACGTGCGGGGTATGCTACATATACCACAAGTCCCATGTCTTTCATGCGTGAGAGGGACACTCACACGGAAGTCCACACCGTAGTTCGCAGCAACGCCGTCAACTGACCAGTCCATGTCAAGGAAGCGGTGAAGGAGACATGTCTTGCCGATGGACGAGCTGCCGATAAGGACCATCTTGAATTGTGGAGGACACGACTGTGCCATGGTAGAATTTTTTGCAATGGAACCGAAGGGACGCTTTGTCTGTGGAATGGATAGAACAGATGGCATGATAAGGACATCGAAGTTCGCCAGATGAGGCAGGCCCCACAGCCTCGCATCCATCATATGGTTGGTGCGTAGAAAACGTGTAGAGTACTCCAATCCAACACGCCCCCCACATCCACGATCGATTCATGATATGTACTGGCACATACGCAAGTTGTATGTAATATCCAGTTCTGAGATCTGACTGCGATGAAAGTTCGCCTTCAATGATCTCGATCAGTCATTGAACCGACTCATTGTAGTGTTCCCCGAATAGACCCACTGGAATGAGACGTTGTGCTATGCACCTGTGTAGTATGTATTAGTGCATTCCAGACGCATCCAATCTCAGCTGGCACGGACCCTGTAACACAAATCATATGTACAGATGTTCAGTGCTCAATCCATGAACCACAACGGCGTTGCTGGCTATGCCAGGTTGAGTTGTCAAAAGATACATAGGCCCTGAGTTTTTTTGTGGTGAAAAGTTGTCAGTGTACTGTTGTTGTCTGGTAGTGTCATCGTGTCGTCGTAGCAAATTTATTAGATTGTTGCGGTGTCTTTTGATTTGACGTATTCAGCGAGGCAGCCACACCCCATACTCGCACTCCTTCCCTTCCCTCCCCTACCACGAGTCGTCATACCCACAGATGACGGCCCCAGTAACGACGACACCAGTCGCCTCATCATCACCCGTCAACGTCAAGCTCCTCCTGATTGGCAATGCATCTGTGGGCAAGAGTAGTCTTCTGTTGCGATTCTCAGACGAGCAGTGGATACCCGAGGACGAGGCGACTGCAACTATCGGAGTGGATTTCAGGGTGGGTCTTGTTTTGTAGGGTTATTTTGTAGGTAGTGATACTGGAGACTCCCTCGAGAGTCCCAGCGTATCCGACAAGTTGTTTAGCGCCCCAGCTGCACACGGGCGACGAGATTCATATGTGCGACGGCTTCGCGCTAACGACTCTTTTCCTCACGTAGGTTCACAAGATGGAAGTGAATGGCCGAAAGGTCAAACTCAGTATATGGGTCAGTTTATCTTTCTTTCTGGCTTGCCCGTTGACTGACGGGGCGTTTCCTTCGTTGAACTTGGGCTGTGTGCTTCATCATGCGCTCGTCTTTACGGCGTACACCACATTGATCTTCCCGCCCATATGTAACGTGGCGCATGATGTGCCACAGGACACAGCAGGACAAGAACGTTTTCGGACGATTACGTCGTCCTATTATAGGGGTGCTCAGGGCATCATAGTTGGTACGTCGGTACCCCCTTCTTCTCGTCTTGACTTATTCACGTGTCTCCCGTCTCCCGTCATCTGGTTTTCGCTGTTGAATTTCTCGGTCCAATCCACGGGCAGTATACGACGTCGCGAATAGAGAAACGTATGATGCGTTGCCCAAATGGTTCACGGAGATCGATACGTATGTCTCGTCATTGGTGCCGAAGATCATCGTTGGCAATAAACTAGACAAGGTCATTCTTCATTTCTTTCTCCCGCCATTTCCATTTCCTTCGTTTCGCTCTCATTAGTCGTGTTCCACGTTATCTTTGCACCTTACATGCATACGGTGGTACGGACGAGCATATCTAACATAACCCGACCAACAGGAACACTCCCGCCAGGTATCTACCTCTGAAGGGCAGGCGTTCGCTACTCGGAAAGAATGTCTCTTCCTAGAAGCAAGCGCCAAAACTTCTGTTGGTGTACGCGAGGTTTTCGAGGATCTTGTGAAACGGATACTCGAGACACCAGAGTTGTGGGCACCTGTGACACCTGAGTCTGGGGGTGGGAAACGTAGAGATGGGGAAGATGGGATGCCGGGGACGATAGATTTGAATGGGCGGTCGGCACAAGAAGACGATGGGGGGGTTGGGTGTGCGTGTTAGTTGCAGTTGGAGAAGAGCATTCTGAGAGAGTGGGATGGGGCTACTAATATTGGAGGCAATTTTGGAATACCCCGTCGACCCTCACAAGTTACTCCTGGATTTGAATGCATGAGCTAGGTAATTTTGCATGGAATATACAATAGCTGCACGTCTATTCATTGCTCAAGGTTTGGGGCAGTACATATTCTGATGATCTGGACTCAGGGTGCTGACATTTCTGCCAAGAATGGTGCAATAGCTGCACCGAGTATGGCTCCCGAGATAAGAGGATTGGTGTGTTGCAACCTTGAGATAAGAAGATACAAAGCATTGGCAACATGGTCAAGGAGAGGAGTGCACATGAGAGACATGCTCATGGTCAAATTCTAAGGGTACAGTCTATTGCTGTCTCCTTCCACACCTGAAGTCACTGGTATATAAAGTTATACCTTGACAACAAATGTGGGATAGCAGATAACTGTTATGCTGATGACTTGTATTGCATCATGAATTGAGTGCAATGTAGCACAAGCACATAATGGCACAAGAAGTGATGCATTATTTAACTTCACTAGCAGTGGTACACTAGTCTTGGCCAACCAAAGTCATACTGTCAAGTCTGCATAGGTACAGTGAGCAGAGCTAAGGGTGGTTGCAAAGTAGATTTTGAATGGGGAACTAGTATGATACATGTGGGTTTATATACATATGTAGAGTACTATGCAACAAACATTTGAAAACATAAAGATGAAGGAACAAAATTTCATATGGTGATGTGTGCATGACATAATATAAACAACAACATTAGAAGAGCTACATCAACAAAGGCACAACCCCCAAAAGCAGGGCAAAGAATGGTGCTGGCACCTGGAGGTCACATGGGGAGACACCAATGCCACAATTTGCAGCTTATAATATCAGATGTAAAGTACTATATGACAAACATTTGAAAACATTCAAACACACACTCAAGTTCCTGCTATGGTATCATCAAGTCACATGGAGTTGCTGTGCAGCAGCTACACCCATACAACTGAGTCTCCACAGCAGAGGGGACTGGGGGCAAACATATGATGAGGAAAGGGTGAGCACATATATGTACAGGGGTAGATGTGCAACTGGGTTACACATGTCATGTGACTGTGTGGATCAGGGCTACCAGTGGATCACAGGAGGAAGGGCAAATGGGCATAGCCTGGCTATAGTACAATGTAGGGTAAACAGGGGTAAGACACAGAAGGAAACATATGGAATGCAAGTCCAACTGTGTAGACAGTGGCTTGCAGTGGAAAGGGATGTCACTACAGTGAGGGACAAAAGTGTTGCAATGTTTGTGAGGTGTGACTTGCTGCTGATGTAGCTTGGGCTGTTCTGTACAGATGATCATGATACCTATACCATTGGCAAGGGGTGACTCTAAGCTTTCCAGAGCACTAAGGTTCAGTCCAAACAAAGCAATACATGCTGAGATACACCCTATTCTTTCCAAAAAGTGCATTGCAATGCTTTTGGCCCTGACTGGTGAAATAGTGAAAAGTGACCTTTTGATGGGATTAAGGGCATGAAGGATGGGAAAATATGATTACATAATAAACCACATGGTCTTCCAGATGATTTGTCAGCATGTAAACAATGACAAACATTGGACTTGTACCATTAACCCTTCCTCTTTTACCACAATTCATGAAATCATCTCTCTAGCTCACATGGTCATTTTCTCAAGGAATTCTTATCAAATACTGGTGGCCACCACAGTACCATCAGTATAACATGCTCTCAGAGCCATCAGTCCCTTAAAAAACCTGCTGTCAGTCATTCCCTGGACTGTTTCCCCCCCATGCCTGATGTGTTCTGGGACTAATCAGTACTTGGAAGGCTGAAAATGTCATGGAGGTCAATCTGGCACTTCAGCACATGATGGACAAACTAATCCCCTCTCAACCAATGCATTTCTGGCACAGGGACACTGGTATGGAAGTTAGGGCAAGATAAAATCCTCTTTATCCCTGGGTGTCATCAGGAGGATATGCTACTGAACTGCCATGGAGCAGAATCCTGTGCTTCCATATGGCCCTGAATATTGCCTTTGGTCATGTGTGACTGAATAACCCTTCCCCAGTCATCCAAAGTTCAGATCAGAGCAAGATCTAGTGAACCCTCTTAGGGTGCTTGGAGCACAAGGAGGTTTTGTCTCCCCCCAACCCCCATACCAGTGTCCCTGTGCCAGAAATGCATTGGTTGAGAGGGGATTAGTTTGTCCATCATGTGCTGAAGTGCCAGATTGACCTCCATGACATTTTCAGCCTTCCAAGTACTGATTAGTCCCAGAACACATCAGGCATGGGGGGGAAACAGTCCAGGGAATGACTGACAGCAGGTTTTTTAAGGGACTGATGGCTCTGAGAGCATGTTATACTGATGGTACTGTGGTGGCCACCAGTATTTGATAAGAATTCCTTGAGAAAATGACCATGTGAGCTAGAGAGATGATTTCATGAATTGTGGTAAAAGAGGAAGGGTTAATGGTACAAGTCCAATGTTTGTCATTGTTTACATGCTGACAAATCATCTGGAAGACCATGTGGTTTATTATGTAATCATATTTTCCCATCCTTCATGCCCTTAATCCCATCAAAAGGTCACTTTTCACTATTTCACCAGTCAGGGCCAAAAGCATTGCAATGCACTTTTTGGAAAGAATAGGGTGTATCTCAGCATGTATTGCTTTGTTTGGACTGAACCTTAGTGCTCTGGAAAGCTTAGAGTCACCCCTTGCCAATGGTATAGGTATCATGATCATCTGTACAGAACAGCCCAAGCTACATCAGCAGCAAGTCACACCTCACAAACATTGCAACACTTTTGTCCCTCACTGTATAAGGCAGTGGTGGGCATGAGTGGTATGGGAACAATGTGAGTGCAGTCACTGTGGAAACAGGATTTTAATCAGGTGCAGTGATAGTTGGGCAATAGGCTGTAGTCATACTATATCCTAAGAGTAGTAAATGTTAACAATATGTCTGAGAATCATTGTGAGGTGTTCTCATTTTGAAGTGTAATCTGGTTGGATTCACAAACTTATCATCATGACAATTCCAACATCCATCAACTATATTCTAAGCAGATTACACTGTGATTATAGGATATGTACATGAGTTGCATCATATAAATCACATTGATCCTTGCTGTCTTCACTCGCACTATTCAGAATAATAAGATCAGATTATGTTCAGAGTGCCTACTACATGGTGCACTTTAAAAATGGTTGCTGTCAAGATCACACAACACCCCTGACTTCCTCTTAGGGCAGAGTAGGAGTGGGTTGGGCTGCAGAGTACAGCAGTCAAAGTCCAAAGTGAATCTGACCACTGGGTGGCGAGATATGCAACAAACAGTGAGTGGAGGAGTATGGAGGAAAGTTGTGGAGGCAGAGGTCAGAGTCAGAGGTCAGAGGTCAGAGGTCAGATGAGAGGGCATCTCAGCTAGTGTGCTGCCCCCTTGTGCAAGCTCAGCCCTCATATTTCAGAGGTAGAGCAGACTCAGAGAGAGTGGAGATGAAACTCTGGAGGGAACTCAGAGGGAGTTGGAAGTGGGGACTTTATTCAATATTCATACTGATTACATCAGAGTACTACATGGCCTTATATATGATGTAGGTCGAGGGCAGTGCAGTGTAGAATGCAAACCAATAAGTGTATAACAGGTTAGCAGTCCCTCCAACACAAGGGATAGAGGATAGGGATGATGGGGACCTTAACTGAGACAAGGAAACCACTACAATGAGGGAGAGAGGATAAATACTGAAGGAGTGGAAGAATGGAGAAAAACTGACACAAGGGCAGAACCCTATCTAGAATGCAGGGCCACAAGTCCAACAGCCCACTGAGCTGACCAAGGCCTTGGAGGAGGCACAGATGAAGCTCTGGCCTCCATGTGACCAGCCTGAGGGTGGAGTTGAGCAGAGCTGGTTGGAATATGGACAGGGGACCTCAGAGAGGTGTGGAGATGTGTTGGAAGGGTCAGAGGAGTGCAGGAATGCATTGGAAGAGGGTGGAGTGGGTGTTAGGGGCTTATTCCAATGTCATGGTCATGACAGTCACCCCCCCTGGGTGCTGCCCTTGCTTGCTGCTCCCCCAGCCTCCTCATCTGAATCCAGCACATATGAATGTGTTTTCCATGCCATAGACAGATGTACTCTCAGCCATGTCTGAGTGGGCATGTGTTGGGGCACTCTAGCATCCTCCCAGGTCATCCAGATGATCTGTTTGCACCTCCTAGTCAAAGCAACTGACCATCAGTGAATATGAGCAGGCACACACTGGAGCATTCTCACATCCTCCCCAGCCATCCAGATGATCCATTTGCAACCAGTACTCCTGCTCAACAGAATGACTGACCACTGGTCAGTATGGATTTCCTGTCTGAATAGCCACACACCTTGCCTTACATCTGTAGCATTTCACACCCTCATTTTCCTTCCAGCATCAGTTCCATGATGTGGAGACAACCAGTCCCATTGATCCACATGAAGCCCCTTATCCCTATCTAGGAGGGAGTCAGCCCAACCAACCAATCAGCTATAAGCCTTACCAGGGGAATGGAAATGGACATGAATGTACTATGCCAGTCTGTTCCAGTAGGTCTGTTCATAGCCAGTTGATTACCCATGGACATGGTGAGGCTTTTGTGCAAGACCATTCCCATATGTACACCCCAAATTGTTCTAGAAGTGGGTCTTTTGTGCCAGACCTGCATGGTTATGATTGTGAGCCAATGCATGGCCATGAATGCAAGCCTATGCACAGCTTGCAAGTGACAGTTGTGCAGATAATGGTTGATATCAGAAACCTTACTGAAGGGAAGATGCATCTTGAAGAAGGACATACCAGGCTGAGGGAAGACAACACAGTGACTTCTTGCCTTGATGCTCTTGAACAGAGCTTTGCAGAACTTCAAGAGAAAGGTGAAGTCACCCTGAAGCAAGTCTCATCAAGGACAAGCTCCAATGATCATATGGCTGTAAAGGTATGTCAGTATGCCATGCTACTTGTTGGATGTGTTCACCAGACATTCTTATTTCCCATTACAAGTCTATTATCCAGCTGCTGTTCTGCCAACTATGTGGAATTGACTGTAGCCATAGCAAGAAAGTTTGTGTGGCAGTGCTAGCTGCTGTCAAACCTCTTGATAGTGGAGAACCCTTGGAACTTACTGCTGAAGGGGTTGAGATTTGGCACCCCAATTGGCTTGGGTAGGTGGATGACAAGCTAAATGCTAAATTCATTGAAGAGGTCACCGAGCATGTCTATAACAATGAAAAGATAAGGGCTTGCCTTCATAACACTACCCCTACTCCCCAGACAGCACACTGCAACCCTGGTAAATACATACAATCAAGTATCAAAATAGCCTCCTTGAACATGAAAGGCCACTTCCACAATGGAAATGATAAGTGGCTCCATGTCAACCAGCAGATGAGAGACAATCAAATAGCAATTCTAGCTCTACAAGAAACTCACCTGAGTACAACCCAAGCTGACTCTCTGAACAACCTTTTCACTGGCACATTACTCATGATTGCTAGCATAGACCCTAACCACCCATCTGTGAAAGGTGTCACAATTGCCATTAACAAGCATTTGGTGAAAACAAATGACATCAACATCCATGAGATAGTACCTGGAAGAGCAATTCTACTATCAATGCCCTGGTACCAACAAGAACAGTTTAACCTACTCAATGTGTACACTCCCAACAATCCATCTGAAAACCAAAGCTTCTGGGAAATGATACATGATAGCCTTCTGAACCTACCCCAACCAGACATCCTCCTGGGGGACTTCAACATCATGGAGGATTCCATAGATAGACTTCTGGCCCACCCAGATTATGCCAATGCTGTTAACTCCCTCAGAGCCCTCAAATCTCATCTTAATCTGCAAGATGGATGGTGCCAAACCAACCCTTCTGACATAGCCTTCACATATGCCCAGTCTGCTAGACAAGGAGGAAGAGCCTCTCACATTGACCATATCTACACCCTTGAGAGTGTAATCCCCTTCTGCAAAGAATGGTTAATAACCCCCTCTGCTGTGCACACCAACCATGAGATGGTCTCAGTCCATGGGAACAGAGACTGTGGTAAGAGAAAAGAGTCTGAAGGAAGGAAGTGACCAGAGCATGGTGGCCACAGGTAGTGGTGCACAAGAGGGAGTGAGGGCATGGGAAGGTAGCGAGGTAGGTGGGAAGGTAGCATGTGAACAGCAGTGGATGTGAGTGGTCTGGGGATGCAATGATAGTCATGGAGCAGTTGGTGACAGGGGCTTACACATCTAGGGAATACAGATTCCTTACAATGCCTCTTGGCTTACTGTGCCATACTGCCATGCCTCAAGGCTACTCCAACTCACCATCAGAATTTCAGAACTGTACAGCTAGCAATTCTAGTACATTGGAGATATGACAAGTAATAGAATAGTGTCTTTGCATGAGTGGCTGTGCTGCCTCACACCTTCTCCCTCTCCCTCCACTATCATCAGAATTTGGCCCACAGTGCAGGCCTCACCTTGTTCCTTTTCACAACCTCCAGCCACTCTGCTCCCTTTGAAATGCAGCCTCCCCTTCATAGGCAAGGGCTGCTGGACCCTCAGCCCAAGCCTTCTAAAAGACAAGAGTGTCTGAATGCAAATCTTGAAAGAGGCAGTGAAACTCTCTCATGAGTTTGACACTTACAACCCACCCTCCCACTCCACCTCTAGTAACCCCCAAGTGATCTTCAAGTCCTTTAAGGACATGATCATCTGCATACCATGCAACCATGCACACTCCATGATGCCAGTGCTCTCCAAAAAGATAGACAACTTACAAGGTCAACTCCATGCAACCCTAAATGACCAATCCCTCTGTGATGAAGCCAAACTCCTGATGAGTAGTGAACTCCAAGAAGACATAGCATGTCTAAGACAATTAAGACATGTGAACATACATGACCACTCTGCCCTCAGAGTGTGCCTGGAGAGCAAATCTCCCACAAGTAAACTGTGGGCAAAATCCAGGAAGGACATCAAACCAAAAGACATTATCATCAAACTATGTGACCCCTCATCCTTGCCAGAAAACCCATGATATTGCACATGGTCAGATGATATGGCTTCAATAGCCAAATATTTCTATGATGACTTACAGCAATCTGATCTCTGCCCCATGGAGGAGCACTCTCGAGTGATGGATGAAGTCCTCACAAACATTGAAGTCAGCATCCCTGCCACCAAATATGAAGCAATGGATAAGTACATATCACAGGATGAGATAGATGCTATGCTCCACAAGCTACTGTGTGGAAAGGTGGCTGGACACAACAGTCTACCATATGAACTCTGGAAATGGCTGGCAGCGCCTCCCTTGTCAGAAGATGACAACTCCCTGGAACATGAGCCCAACAATGAGTTCTGTCTCTCAAAATTCCTGGAAAAAGTTTTCAATGACATCCAAGAACATGGAGTCGACCCAATGGCCAACTTCTCTGAGGGATGGATTTGTCCTCTTTACAAGAAAAAAGACAGGCAAGAAATCAAAAACTACAGACCAATAACTCTACTTAATACTGACTACAAACTGTTTACCAAGATACTCACAATATGGCTAGCACACACTGCTCTGCTGATAATCCATGAAAACCAAGCAGGTTTCCTGCCAGGCCATAGCATCACTGACCAGATATGACTCACCCAAATGATCCTCCACTACACTGAAGCCACTGAGGAAAATGGCACCATAATTGCCTTAGACCAAGAAAAGGTGTATGATCAGGTCATGCATGACTATCTATGGAAGGTCCTGGACAAATATGACCTCCCCCTGTCCTTCATCAATACAGTCTGGTCCCTATATAAAATGGCTGAAATGATAGTTATGATAAATGGAGAAGCCAGCCCAAGCTTCTGGGTCACTAGAGGAGTGAGACAAGGCGACCCACTATCCTGCCTCCTCTTCGACATTGCTATAGAACCTCTCACAGAGATGATCAGATGATCCCCCCTTGCAGGCTATAAAACTCCTGGGGAAATACATCACTCAGTAGTTTCAATGTTTGCCAATGACACCACTGTATACTTATCAGCCACAGATGACATAGAAATACTTAATACAATCCTTTCTACATGGTGCTGCACCTCTGGTGCCAAATTCAACATGGATAAAACAGAAGTTATTCCAATCAGCATGCCAGACTACTGGCAGTCACTAATAGCATCCTCCAAACTAAATCCTACATCCTCAGCCCTCCCCCTGAGTGTTAGAGTAGCCCACAATGGCCAGGCAATCCACATCCTTGGAGCGTGGCTAGGAAACAATGTCAACAAACCATCTGTCTGGTCTTCCATCCTCAAGAAGATAGATTCTAAATTGCAAAAGTGGAACTCCTGGAATCCATCCATTGAAGGAAGAAAGACAATAATACAATGGACCATAGGAGCTATGACTCAATACCTAACCTGCATCCAAGGCATGCCTAAAAACATAGAAATTTACCTTACAAAATGCCTGAAACTCTTCACCTGGGATATGCAAGGTTAACCCAATGTAAGTTTGAAAATGCTATATGCCCCCATCTCACAAGGCAGGAAAGGAGTTCTTAACCTACATGTATGAAACGAAGCAATAGGAATGGTCTGGCTCAAAAAACTCCTATTGCCTCACCCCCCAGCCTGGACACCTTTCGCTCATGAACTGCTGCGAATACATGCTGCTCCATCCCCAACCTCAAAACCTAAAGCAAGAGTTAACTACTTCCTACAATCATGGCCAATCACCCCATCAAAACTACCCCCCATACTTAGTTGCTGTATCATGCTGGCCAGGAAATACAATTTAACTTTGGATGCACTATTCTCTCACCCAGCCTCCCTTGACCCCCTCCCAGTGTGGTTCCACACCAGTGCCCTCCTGAATCTGAAAAAGCTGAACAATTATTTTTATGCTCACTACATTTGAGACCACCATAATATAACAAGTATAGGTGAAATTTGAACTCTAGCCAATACACCCTTCAATGACTCCAACCGATGCTTAGGATCTTGTGTCTGTGAAAATTGCAACACTCTCTGTGATACCACCAGGTGCCTAAAACTGTTCAAATGTGTGGAGACAGCCTTGAACATAACTAGATGCATCCCCAAGAAATGGACACCATCTCCTGTTCCTTGGAAGAATCCCAACCTGTTGCTAGACAAGATTGCTCAAAACTGAAGACTTCTGGAAGAAAAGAATGCCTTAACTTTCAACCCAGCACTCACTGAGGCTGGCCCCATTGAAAACTCCTTCCATATACTTTGCCCTGCAGAACCACAGATGGACTCCCCTGTGACCCAACTGCAGGTGCCAGATGACATAACTCACCCCATGGTCAAAATTTCATATAGTTCAATCCATAAGATTAATGATGATGGAGAAAAGGTATCCTGTGGTAGTGCCTTCTTCACACATGAAGACCCCTGAAACCTTGCTTTCTGCATGATTAGCAACCATGTGACAAGTGAAACTGGTATCCTGTGTGCTATAATAGAATCAGTCAGGAGAATTGACCACTTTGTCCCCATACTGGCCCACATCAGCTTGGAATCAATTGTTAGAAACCTCACCATCAACCTACCCAGAAATGAAGATAGTGACTGGTACAGCTGCGATGATGCCCACTTATACTGATCCATTGTAGCAATACTGCATCTTCACAGCACCCACACCCACCTCCAAGCCTGGAGCATGAAGACCCCCTGCCTAAAATGATCAGTGGCATCTAGTCTGGTCAAAGAAGCCCTCACCCACCCATCCCTGACATCCTGTGATGTGTCTATAAACCTGCACTTCTCCATCCAAGGATTATGACTGTCCACTGGATTGCAGCATATGTTCCACTGTGCCCTAATTATGCACTGCTCCACAAATGACCTAGGAGCGAATAGGCAAACAAAAATAAACTTAGCCCTGACCCAACATGCTGTGTGGAAGTGGAAAAGCCTCCAAGGATGCTACAAAACTGGTGAGTACTGGCTTAAGATTCTGTCCTATGAAACAAGAGGTACCTGTGTATTCTGCAGTGAACCTGAATCAATGTTGCACATTCTAATAGAATGTACATGCTCACCTTTCTAGTCCATAATTTGGCCCCTAGCAGAATGACTGTGGTTAATGCATGAAACCCAGTGGCCTGAAATAACCTTTGGCACCATTCTTGGTGCTGGCCTCGCAGTCTCCTGCAATCGTGGGAAAAAAGCGATTGGTGACTCCTGACTGTTCACAATCCTAATCCTTGAATCTGCACACCTTATATGGAAACTAAGGTGTGAATGGGTCATTAACAAAGGCATTTTAGAGAGTACCCCATCACCAGACAAAATTCATAATAAATAGATACATGCTATCAACCTAAGACTGAAATTTGACTGTCTCCAAACAGACATCAAGCAATATGGTAGCAAAGCCTTAAAGCAAGACACTGTTCTCAAAACCTGGAGCAGCATATTACTTAATGAAGAGAATCTTCCAGACAACTGGATTTGGAAGTCAGGGGTTTTAGTGGGTATTACACCTTGGCACCCTCTGGGGCATGGTAGGTAGAGCTACCAATGAAGTGGAGAGTCCCACACTACCTTAACTGGTGTGCATAAAGCATTTCCCCTGGGTGACATTATGGGCTTTCTATGGTTATATGGTTTATGTCTTTTCTCCTTGTTCAATAATCCTTGGGTGAAAACCCCAACTCCCTACATGCTACTAGGGGGCTGACTTAGTCAGTTGCATTCCTAGTGTTCATGTCCACCAAAAAAAAAAAAAAGGTGGCAGTACCATCATTCAATGATGTTTGTGGGTACTCACTGGCAGGGTAACAGAGCCAGAGGGAGCTGACCCAAGTCAAAAATATCCCAGACAAGTCATTCAACCTCCCAATAATAACAGAGTGTGCTAAAACCTATTTCTGGAGTATCCATAAGAGAGCTAGCAAGCTCCAAACCAAGCAGGTGTGTGCAAGGCCAAACAAAGGCTGGAATATGGTCAGCAGTGTGCCCAACATTCCACAGTAAGCTGCAGAACTCACCTGGTTAGCTAATGCCCTTCACAAGCTCTTAGGTCACTGTAGTTCAACACAAGGTGGTGTTGCAATACAAACAAGATTCCAGCCGCAAGTATCATGACCATGTGTTCATCCTAGGTCCTCACTCACTCCAGTCCCTTTTCTGCTGGTCATTCACTCATTCCACACCAACTCTGCCCACCCCCTGAGGTTTACAAGTCATCTCTGCTCTGACTGCTGTTGGACTTGTATTGCTCTCCTACCAGACCACATGGACTGTCCTCTAAGGAGTCATGTGACTACCCTTCAGACTTCTCCCTGACAGGTGTGCAGTCAGGTACTCTGCAGCACATGCACTGCATGGTCCAGTGCCTGGACTGTTCCCTTTTTGGGATGTTCTATGTTACCCATTCGTATGTCCTCCATCTACCCTTCATTTGTCATCTAGGAAGTTTTACTTGATAATTTATGAGTCTCCATATGTCAGTTCTGATTCCAGTTACTGTACCTCTGAGGTAGTATAAAAGCATGAATTGTACTCTAATGTTCTTCAGTACAAATATTGACTTAGTTCCTACTCCCTCTGTCTCTGTCTTCTGCCTGTCAGGGTTACCTCTGACTTTCTGTCTGTGCTCTCCCTCTGAAATATGAGGGCTGAGATCGTGCAAGGGGGTAGCACACAAGCTAAACCCAATGCCCTCACTCCACTCTGCCTTTGCCTTGATGGACTTCATTCCTGCCAACACTCCACCAGTTGGAGTTCAGTTCTTTCCTATTGGACTTGCTTCTGAACCTCTCCCCAGGCCTTGTCTAGCATCAGAGTTGGTCAGAGTAGGCCTGGACCTGACAACAAGGGTGCAGTGGCCCTTATCAAGACAGACCTTGGGTCTGATGTTCTCACCTGTAATGACAGCAATGTCAGTGAGGATACTTTGGAAAGAAGAAAGCTTGTGGAGGTTGGGAAATCTGCAAACAAAGTCATAGGTTGTGCTTGGCAATCTATCAATGTAAGTTGCCAACTTGCATGCTAAAGACCATCACTCACTGAGGGTCTGGTTCAATAGTATATTGCATTCCTTTGCTGGCTAAGTTTCTGTGCCTTGAACCAACAGCAAGATGTCAATGAGCCCTCTAGTGGTAGCATGAGAAATGCAGACAATGAACTGCAGTGCAAACATCACAAGATGACCAAGAAGTTCCACAAACACATCTTATGTTTCCCCAAAACATTTAAATCATAATCCACCACAACCCAAAGCTATGATCTTCAAGTCAATGGTAGACAAAACATGGTGTGCTAAGAATCCAGACATGGAGGTAGTTGAAGGCATTGACTGGCTGAAGGGATTCTATTTGATGCTTAGACAGGGGGAAATTTTTGATGCAGATGCCACCCACCTCAAAGAGCTGAAGGAATGGCTTGAAGCAGGGATGTGCATGTCATCAGAATCAGAAGACAATATGGTCGACATCTGAAAACCTTCACTGCATTGTTCACTTGCCAGGCTAATGGTCTAAACATATCCAAGAGGCTCCATTGATGTGTGAATACCACTACTTTACTGCTGATGTGTCTAGTCCATGAAGTGCATATGTGTAATGTGTTAGAAGCCCTGTCACTATGTATTTCTTCAATGGCAAGTCTGGTGTCAGTAAATTTGTGACACAACACACCTTTGCAAGGTCTACTGTCACCCAGACCTTTCGCTGGTTCTCTCCAAGTGCTACAATTGTCATGGCCACCAAATTCTTGACCCAGTCTAACTCAATGAGCAATGGGAGCAGTGATTCTTGCTCTTGATAATCTCCAAGTTCCCATAAGCAAACACCTAGAGTAGAACTTAAGATAGTCAGTGAGGGTGATGATGGGTCATAGAAATGAACTTACAATTTGTCCCAGATCATCACTTGGTTCCCCTCATATGGCTTGAACCATCACATCTGGGCCAACCACAGGCTATGTTTACCATTGAGCAGGTGTTGATTGACCTGAAAAATCTCAAGAATTTTGCCATATACATGGATGGGTAGTTGACCTAGTATCATGACATGAGCAAGCAACAATGAGTGTGTCCCAATTGCTTTCAAAGCATGAATTTGCTTGCCTTCAATTATAACATAGTCATAGAATAGTCCTTTGTGGTTGAGGGGAATGCTGCCATGTGAGGTTGGCCATTTGTGTTGACAGTGCACAGGCAAATGTGGAAAGCAAGTGTTCGGAGTGTGAGCAAGTAAATGATAGGTTTTGGATGAGAAATTATTCTCATGACAGCGAGGAATTAGGGCATAAGCCATCCCTATTGTGCAACACACAGTCATAGTGGTCAATTAATCATATATATGACTGAACATAACTGTACCACCCATGCTGATTTTGTCAAGTTCCTGAGAGAGGGTTGCAAGCCCAGCAATGGTGCCATGCTCTTCATGCATGACCTTCTGCATGATTTGGGTGGCCTCTGATTGGAGCAACTTTGCTGGGTTGGTATGCATCATGTATATCTCA